TAGAAAATTAGACAATTCTCATATCTAATCATGAAGTTTTTAAATATACTTTTGCATACATTAGGTATATAACTTTTCAAAGAATGTTAGGTAAAATTTAGGAAACACGGTATGCTGAAAACACTGAATAATGTAAAATTAACAGGAAAAGCAAACTAAATCACTTTCATGCAGTAAAAGTTTGACATTCTCCAGAGGCTTAGTTGTAATTAACTAAAAATTAAAAAATCTACTGAATACTTGAAATAAAGATACCTGTGTGACAATTACTCTTGACAGACAATTTCATTGGATCAAGAAGAGTTCAGGAGATTAGTAAAGCACATCTCTTGGTATGTCTGAGGGCATTTCCAGAAAATAATAGCTAAATGGGAAGACCTTTGTTTAAAATTCTTTATTTTATTGTAAAGATGCTGTACAGAGGGGTTACCGTTACATGAGTAAGGTAATGAGCACATTTCCTGTAGAGCATTGTTACCCGCTCCTTTGTTTTTCTCCTACTACCTCTTCCTACCTCACCTCCCCCACTCTTCCCCTGCCCCATCTCAAAGTTGAAAAGTTCATTTCCATCATAGTGTCTTGCAAGTATCATTGTTGGATGGGTTGTTCGGTGTCCTTGTTTCAATATTTTGTTATTCTGCCCTGTCTGTGGGTAGCACAGTTCCCCAGACTGAGGACCTGGTTGGAATAAAAGTTTTGGGCCCACAAATTCAGGCATCCTTCTATCTATTTTCTCTCATTTTCCCTCTCTTCCCCTCCCTCACTCCTCTCTCTCCTATTGGCCACCCCCTACATAAGTATGATTAATTAAAACCTCCGAAGCAAAGCCATAAGCCAAACTAGCTCCTCCCTTTAATTTGGTCTTCTCAGTTATTTGGTCAATTGATGATAAAAGTAACAAGAATCTTTACTTGGCCAGTTTTTTTCCCTCAAGTCTTAACACTCTACTACTGAGTCATACCTCCACTTGTGGCACTTTTGCTGATCAATTTGAGGTAAGAATCTTACAGACTTTTTTGCCTGTTCTGTCTTCAAACCACTATTCTCAGATCTCAGTCTCTTGAGTAGCTAAGATAACAGACATGAGCCACTGGTCCCCAGCCTAGGTCAGGAAGTTTAAACATCAGTTTGAAGACAAACTCTATAAGACGATGTTAGAATAACTCGTTTCAAAAATTGGATCAAACTCTGTTGCCACAAAGCCCAAGAGAGACAAGGACTACCATGATGATATAATACACTAGGTTGCAGATATGTTTGTTACCTTATGCTGGTCAGAAGTTACTATGTCCTCAAGTGTGGTTAGTTGCTTAGGAAAATGTGCTGGAATAAAAGCTCAAGTATTGCTGAGTTCACATTTCAAGTTTATCAGTAAAGGTACTCTTCCCTTAGTTAAACATCACTAACTTTTAGTGCTTCATTCACACAATAAATAACCTGTTATTATGGGAATAGAGATAATATGTATACTGTATAGACATGCCTGACCCATTCTGTGAGTTCATTATGAGTTTCTTTTCTCATTTCATTCTCATGATTTTTATGAATGAAAGAGATAATTACATTTCTAAAAATAGAATTATATTTATTTCCATCACTAAGATGATACAGACCAGAAAGATAGATTTTTTTTGATCTTCTAAGACTTTGATAAAAAATAATTATTATTCAGTTTGCCTGGAAGCTATGTACTAAATCTATGCATGATATAATTAGGGAACGCTACACAAAGTGAATATTCCCATGTCATATGAATTTTTTGATAATAGTATCAAGTAGATAGTTCAAGGAGAAAATTTGAAGAAAATATAATATAAAGGTAATGTATGTAAACTGAAGCATCTTTAGAAATGTCATTTAGATAGGTCAAATGGATCATCTGATAAGGTATATAGGAGAAAAACATCAGTGGGTCTGATTCTAATATGTGTATAGAACATAATGAAAATTGAGGATTTTTTGGTATATCAATAAATGCTTGCACATGAAATTAAACAGACGGAAAGCTGTTTTTAATAATAGAAGTTTATAATGCCTCTTTAAGATGTACAGGTAAAATAGTGGCTGTGTGTACTCATATGATTGAGAAATATGTTTATGATCTTCTTTTGTTATTTGGGATTTAGGATAGCAATGCATATATTCTGGATGCAGACTTCCTATATAATAATTCCTTTCATATTAATGACATGTGATCTATTTAACTTCAGCATACCTCAGCTTTTAATCTGTAAATGAGTACATACCTTATTTATTACTATTATTACAATTCCTCTTAAAGGTATTTCAATCATCTTTTCTAACTTGATAAATGTGCTTTATTGACTATGTTAATGTTCTCAATAGAAGTCTATTATTTAAACCCTTTTAATAGTTTTTTAGGGTAGTACTGGGATTGGAACTCAGAGCTTCACATTTGCTAGGCAGGCATCTACCACTTGAGCCGTGTCTCTAACTAAGCAAAATCTCACTTTGATATCTACTCAAAATGCTCAAAATGCTTGGAGAAGTCAAAAGCACACCAATGAATGTGCTAGAAAAAATAAGAAATGTACTGGTTATCTTGCCCATGTAATGGTAACTCCTCTGTATGGTATTCTCACAATAAAAAAAAAGAAAGAAAGAAAGAAAAAAAAATGTGATGGAGTTTAAAAAGTAAATTATAGGGAACGTATATGAAAATTTCAAGGATTGAGATTGTCAAAAGATTCCTAATAATAGATGGTGGACCAGTTTTCTTGTTTAGGACTTCCTTCCCCAACATTGAACACCCAACTGGTTATTCATTTATATACCGGACATTTCCCAAGCAGGGAAGAAATGAAGAATAAGGATCGTGTGCCCCAGTCAATGTCACAGAGCCACTGATGGTGGCATCATCCGACTGTCCAATTGTTCTCCACCATCCTTAGACTGAGGAACATAGAGATGGCCCCATAGTTACAGATGGCCAGAAATAGTTTCATTTAGTTTTTTATCTTCGGAGCTCATGAAAAACTTTTAAGTATTTAACCGTAAAAGTACCTGATCCTCACAATAAATATACACAACAGAAAAGAATAATGTTTTCTAGATTACTCTATCCCTTTCCAATTAATTAGGTTCCTAGTGTAGGACTGAGGCTTGAACTCGGGGTCTCATGCTGTCTTGCAGCTTTCTTGTTCATAGTTGGCACTCTATCTCTAGAGCTATTCCCCTAGTCCAGCATTGTGCTCATTAGTTGGAGATAGAGCCTCACTTTTGTGCATGGGCTGGCTTCAAGCCTCATTCCTCTAGGTCTCAGCTTTCTTTCTATGTAGCTAGGATGACAGGCCTGGGCCATAGGTGCCCCCAAAAAGAGCAGTTTATTTTTTTTGTTGTTCAGCACAAATTAAACAAGAAATCCAATTCAATGGTTCAGGATTTTATACTTTACATTTTTTACTACAATGTATTAATCAGCATGTAATCCAATAGTTTTTCTCTGGATCTTAATTTATGCTTCTTTTGTGGTTACTCTTCAATTCACCTGAGTTGTTTTCACTTTCAAAAATTAAGAAAACTAGCTGCTATCAATTTAAATTAATTTTACTTATGAGAAGCAAGTATTTTCATATAGAAAATTCCAAATTTAAAAAGAGGAAGGTGTAGGAAATACTTTAACATAGTATAGTGAATAAGTTACATTATTTACTTATAATGATTTTTTTTCTTTAGCATTTACCCATCAAATCAGTGCTTGCTAGGGTCAGATAACACATGTTCCTAAAGTTTATTAATAGAGAAGGTGGCTTTCTTTTTTTTTTTAATTTAATTTAATTTTATTTGTGAACATACTGTACAGAGGAGTTACAGTTACATGGGCAGGATAATGCGTACATTTCTTACCAAGCATTGCAGCCTCCTCCTTTGCTTACCCTTCACATCCCTTCCCAGCCTCCCCCCTCCCCCCCAATCCCAATCCTTCTCCTTCCCCGCCTTCCCCCCCCTTTCCCCCCCTTCCCCCCCCCCCCCCCCCCGCACCAACGTTGTAAAGCTCGTTTTGGACATGACAACTTGTACTTCTCATTGTTGCAACAGGTCCACCTGTATCCTTAAACAACTGGTTTTTCCCCATCTCCAAGGTGGCTTTCTTGAGTAGCAAAATGACATCACCTTTTCACATTTTATACCACGATAACATAGATTCAATTTAATCTTCCCTTTACTTGTGTTCAATGAAGAACACTTCCTATAGGTATTTTGAAAAAGGAAGAAAAATAAGAAAGCATATGAAGCTTTTCTTTGATAAAAATAATTGAACATGAAAATTCAAATATTATGTCAGGATAGAAGCTACTGTGAAAATTAAAATACTGACATCAAAGTCATCTTGCAAACTTGAATAACATATAGTCACAGCATATGGGCTAACATGTTTCTAAGAACTCTAACAAAGCCCTTAGATTTTTCAATGCCAACTCTTTAGTAGGTATGCCACTATTAAAAATAGAAAAGTAAAATAAAATTTTTGAACCCTAGTTGAGAAAGCTAACAGCTTGTCATGCTTATGATTTTTTCCTATTTTGATAACATTTAATCATGCAAAATAGTATGGCCAATGCTACTTGGGTGTTCTGTTAGCAATAATCCTAAGAGGCAAATCCATGCCAGAATTCTAACAAATATTCTTTAATAGTCCTTGAAAGACCTTAAAACTTTATACAGTCATACTCATAATTTGCAAAATCTTCTAAAATTTGCTTGAACCCTTATCACTGTATATGTGAAATAAAAGTTAAAGAGTGTTGAGTCAATATATCAAAATTAGAACCAATTAGAACTCAGATTCAAAATTATGTACTTCCCATTTGATAACATACTTTTCTCTCTGAAAATACCTGGAATATGGTTATAGCGGAACACACAGATGATTATAGATGTGTATATGTACATATATATGTATCTATGCATATAAATACACACATATGCACATCTAAAGCAACAAACTAACGATCCTGTAAAGAATGTAGATGACCTACCTGGTGATACTACTACTCCATTTCCGTTGACCACAGGCCTTTCTTCTTCTTCCTCCTCAGGAGGCTCTATACTGGCTTTCTCCATGTTGCTCACTGATTTATTTCTCTTCCGTTTTCCTTCAGCACTTGGAGTGGCTCCGGGAAGTATCTGGTCTGTTACATTTAATAATAATGGTGCTGGTTCAGCTGGAGGCTTTGGGGTCCCGTAGTAATTGTCTACAAATGATAGGAAAACATGTGGAAGCTCAGTCATTATTCTACTGTGTCTGTAATGTTTACTGAACGGAAGTTATACCAGTTTCATCCTGTTTTATACATATGTAGACACACACACACACATATGGTTTTCTATTGTCATATGTATCCATTTTCCCTATAGTGTTGAGTTTTCATGCTTACACATAGATCTGACTTCAATATCATTCTGCTAAAACAAAATACAGTCTTATTCATCACTCCTAAATCATATATATAATTAATTTCAAAATCATTTGTAAGTCTTGAATGTTAATTGATTGTGATTAACACAAACATTATAAGTAATATTTTAAAGTCTAATCTTATTCTGGAAAGGTAAAGCACACTGTGCTATTTCTCCAGCATTCAGAGGGTTCTGGTTGTTGTCCTCTGTGTGTATAGATCCTGGCTGGAGCAGTATCTCCAAGTCTACACACATAGTGGTCCCTGTGGCTACGGCCAGTGGATTTGTCATTCTTATCCTTCCTCGGATTACCTAAGAGATGTTTTGCCCATAACTCTGTCATCCAAGCTATGGGAGCATTCATTCCCTATCAGTCCTTGAGACTTCTTTCTTCAAAGAGGTAAATCTTGTTAATATTTGTAATAAGAACCTGGCATATTAGCATAGAATAGAATTTCTATGCTTACCTTTATATGTGCAAGGAATAGAACAATTTTTAAAATGGTGGGGTTTTTGTTTTTCAGTACTAAGGTAAACTCAGAACTCACACTTGCTAGGTTGTCACTCTACCACTTAATTCACACTGTAAGCTCTCTCAGGGGCTGGTAATTTGTGTGTGTGTGTGTGTGTGTGTGTGTGTGTGCATGCACGCACATGCACACATGCATGCACACGTGTGGGACAGTTGTAGGACTTGAAATTCTTGCTAAAGGCTCTTGCTTAGCTTTTCTACTAAGATCTATCACTTGAACCACACTTCAACTTCTGTTTTTTTCTGGTTAATTGGAGATAAGTCCCTTGGATTTGTTTGAGTGGGCTGGCTCCAAATAAGGATCCTCAGATCTCAACTTCCCAAGTAGCTTTGATTACACATGTGAGCCACTGGAGTGACAGCATCTCCATTCTTGACCAGGTCTGTACTTAGGTAGTGACAGATGAACAGCTCTATCTCCCTACTGACAACTGGCATCACAAACCTATTTGCCCAGGGTTGGCCTGGAACCACAGTCATCCCAATCTTAGCCACTCACAAAACTAGAATTACAGGCATGACCCTCTAAAAAAATCAGTATTACACTTTCAGTACCAATTTCAAATCCATGCTGATGTTTGCAGTTGAGTAATCTCTACACTTTTGTGCTCAGTGATTAAAAATTCTTTATTATGACAGACTATGCACTCAGCACTCCTGTGAGCATTTAGGAAACACTCCTTACTACAATTAAATTTTTATCTAATAAGGTGCTCAACAATTTGGTATTGAAGGCCAGATTTGACACCAAACAGATAAACATAACAGGATATGAGACTGAGTACTGCAGTCCAGCAGAGGGAAAGATACCCTATTACTACCTGTAGATGTCAAGAATGTCCAAGGAATCAGTCATGTGAACAACCTTTATCTAGAGGAGACCTGGGTCTAGAATTTTCTCTATAACTGTGGTTCAAGCATTTTACCTAACCACAAGAAGGTGCAGTTCCTTTTTCTATACTGGGAGATAGCAGTAATTGCTATAACCATGCGTGTTCTGGGTTATAAACAAGCAAAATATATCCCAATTAAGCTACACTTAACCAGGTGTGTGGAAACAAAACAAAACAAAACAAAACATGTGATGGCTAATGGACAAGAAAGGCTAAAAATCCTTGAGCTTCCCAGTTAGGTTGTCATTGGCTGAGCCTCAGTTACAAGGGAGGGCTTAAGCTTCCAAAGAGGTGTTAGACGAGGTGTTTGCTGTCTCTTGATTTCAGGAAAGGAAGGTGTGATGATTAAGCTTGACTTTCAACGTGATTAGACTGAAAGATCCTAGGAGATCAATAAATCTCACACAGTTCTAGGTGTGACTATGGGGATGTCTCTAGAGATTACTGAGCGGCTGAGGGGGTGGACCTGCCTTGAATGTGGGCAGTACTCTCCAGTAGACTGGTGGGAACAAAGGTGGGAGAGGTAGGTAGCCTGGGCATACAAGCTCTAGTTGTCATAATTGTTGTTGTTGTTGTTGTCATCATAGTCGTCGTCGTCGTCATCATCATCATCATCATCATCATCATCATCATCATCATCTCCTCCTCCTCCTCCTCCTATTTCTCTTTCTCTTTCTCTTCCTTTCTTCTGTTTTCCTTTTTTTTCAGCTTACCTAAGTTAGACCAGAAGGGGGTGCTCCAGTCTTTTTGAGCAAGTGTGAACATTCCTCAAGCCATTTATCAGGCATGGACAGCAGACTTGAGCTTCTTCATTCTTCAAGCTTTGAGCATGGTCTTACAGCAGTGACTCTTCCGGGAGTCTCCAGGCCTTCAGCCTTGGACTGGGCCTACATCACTGGCTCCTTGTTCTAGGGCTTCTAGTTTCCTGGACTGTGCCTCAATAGGGTTCTTTGGCTCTTCAGCCTGCAGACTATTCAGATTTCAATCATGTAACGCAACCTGATAAATCCTATTTTATACTTCTCTCTCTGTCTCTCTCTATCTACATATATGTATGTATGTAGATAGATAGATAGATAGATAGATAGATAGATAGATTCCTACGTTCTCTAGCGAGCTATGATTAGTACAGAAGTGGTACCCTTCCTTCTGCTCATTTTATCTCTGGAGTCTTCCCAGGTAGAAAGGAATTTGGGAATGTTGTTAAGGTAAAGCAGAATGTATAAAGAAGAGCCTAATAAAAATTACAGTGTATTTAATAGCAATGAAACCTCATGATGGCACAAAATAAGCAAATATTCTGATGGCTTGCTAGCCCAAATTTAAGAATAAAACAAAGATAACTTTTTTTTTCTTAGTAAAGTGGTTCTTACACACATAGTACTATTTCAAGTTTTGGTACTAGGGCTTGAACTCAAGGCCTCACACTCATTTGGCAATTTTAGGTATGGCTGGTGTTCTTCTCCTTGATCCACGCCTCCAGTTCCAACATGTAGTACTTTTAAACAGAAGTCTAAAAGGGCAGATGATGTGCATTTCACCTATAGTCACTTTTTAATTGATTTAGAACATTTCAAAGGGATCGATTCTTTGTCATCTAAATGACAATTTTTTAAGAAATTTATTTTTATTGTAAAGATGCTGGACAGAGGGGTTAAATTCACATGAATAAATGAATAAGGTACATCTCTCGTTGAACATTGTTATCCATTCCATTGTTGTTCTCCCACTATCCCTTCCCACCCACTCCTGCCTCAAATTCTAACCAAACAAAAATAGCTAGTGGTTCCCTGCAATGCAGTGAACTATTCTATTTCAGCATTCCTAATGGCAGATAAAGCTCTTAGCAAACTGCTAGGCTTCATATGGAATCTAAAGAGATACTTCTTATCTAAGCAACATTAAACAAGGAAATAATTACCAAATATCCTAATAAATGACATAATCTTCAGTAATTTTCTAACATCTTTAAGGCATTCAAATATATATCTAAGAAAAATAAATTGCACTTTAGTGTGATTGTCTTTTAATTTTTATGTTTCCTTCTACTAATTAGAAGCAAATACATAGCACAGGCTTACATAAATATTAGATAACAGATCCTACTGAGTGTCTATTATTAAATAATTATACCTATTGATATGATGTGATTATAAATTACATAGCAACAATCTTACTCTGATTTGATTTGATTTGTGAAATTAATATATAAGATTAAACTTCGGGTATAAAATTGCACAAATCACTAGGTAAAACATTAACATTATCTTCTTTTGCAAAAATAACAGTTTAAAAGAGATACAGAAATAATCTATTCAGTAACTAAATTTGACAACATAATTCAGGCAAAAAGAAGCCAAGATTTCTATCCCATTGCCTAAGAAATACATAGATCAACAGCCAAGTAGTCAAGTAGCTGAACCATCAAAATGACTCTCTGATATAAGTGAATACAAAGACATATACAATTATAAAACTGAGTCTTTTAGAAAATATATAAGAAAAATACACTGTTTTAAACTATAGTTTATATTATCATAAAATAATGATCTATAAATTATTGTCTCACTAAGAATGAAGAGCCTTTATGTACTGTACCAGGATTCAGTGAATCTAAAATCTCACAAAAGTAAGCAAAAATTCTCACAATAGTATGTGATGCTTAATTCCATAGGTCTTGGTGAGAAAGCTTGACTCTGAATCCTGTGCCCTCCAAACTAAGTTCCTCATTATATCCTTAAATTAATTCAGTTAAAATAAGAATAAAATGAATATAGTCACAAAAGCAAAATAGTACACACCAATCTTGGCACTTGGGAGATTGAGGGGAAAGATCACTTGAGGCCTGGACTTCAGGACCAGCCTGGACAACATAGTGAGACACTGACTTTCAAATAGTAATTTGTTAAAATATCAACCACAGGTATTATACTATGATTACTACCAACACTATCACTAAGTTGGGCCCTGCAATGTACAATTTACATATGTGCTCCTATCAAATTTGGGTATTAGAATCACCCTTAACCACAGTGCTACTAAAAAGATCAAAGATAATAAAGGGGTATAAGGTATGGCTAGATCCATAAAGATGATCAAGACATATGAATCCTTTGGGTGTTTATTCATCTCAAAACAGTAGGAAGTCATTCTCCTGAGGGTAAGAAAATAGAGGCCCCAAGAAATTAAAGCATTTCCCAAGATTATACATAAAGCAAGTGAAAAATCTATACTGGTTGACTTAACGACCTCATCTCTTTTCAAAAATACTATGTTGCCTTTAACTGCAATATAGGGAGTTTAGCACAATCCACAGCCTGCCCACAACTCAAGCTGAAGAACTTCCATCAAAGCCACAATCAACTAGCAC